ATATATATATAGGGCATTATATATATATATATATATATATATATCCATAATCTTACCTTCTATTAATGAAGGTCCAGGAAAGGTTTACTAACCAGCTTTTACTCTCAAGGATGTTGAGCTCAGGAATGCTAGTGAGGTCTTTGAGAACTTCATCCCTGTATGGGCCTCCCAGGAAACTGGCCTAAGGATGTCTGACTTAGTCTAGGACAGCTATTCTGGAAAAAGAGTGCTAGACCTTTTCTCCTATCTATCTTAAGAGATGAACTATATATCCCAAACCAATAGAGTTATTTCTCCCACCTGACTCCAATTTCCCTATAATTCTTAATGACCATCCAATCCATTCCAACAAGTCTGTTAGTCTCATCTTTTATCCCTCAACCAAGCAATCACCAATTTTTTAAAAAATCTTAAATTTATATACGTCCCCTCCAACTCTGCTTAAGACCAAGTTGTCATCTGTCACCTGGACAACTGTAAATCCACACCTTTTGCCTCATCACCCAGCTCTAATCCGACCACTGCCTAAGTGATACTTCTGAAATAAAATTATTTCTTTCAGCAAGGCTCTTTGGGGGGCTCCTTTTACTTAGCCAGTTCCATCTCCTGAGAACCTACCCCTATGCTGAAATCCTCAGCATACTGTGCTGTTTCTTGGTGTGCTTCTGCATGTGGTATCTTGTGTTCACCTTGTCTTGTATCACCTCCATCTTGTCTAACTGGAAAATATTGTTTCCCCAAGACCCAGCTCAGCATTATACCTCATTCCCCTTCCTAAATATCCACCATCACTCCCATCACCATGCATAGCCATGATGGAATTAATCCCTTTCTCCTCTCTGTTATATGTATATGCCTCATACATATTACTATTATGCTATTGACCCATACAGTACTTCAAACAGCTGTTAATAGGTCTGAATCTCACATCAAACCAAGCACCTTAATGTCAAGAATTATGTTCTCTGAGTGTTTGGATCCCTACTACAACCAAAACAGTACTGCAATAGATTAAGAGTCAGCAAAACTTTAGTGAAAAGAGGGTGAGATAACTGAAGGTTAGCATTCTCAGAGCATCAAGCCAACCTTGATGGTCTTTTCACTGAACCCCTTTCAATTTTTATAGAACACAGATATCAAATCATAAGATATTGCTATAAGGAGGCTGGCTAACTCCACCTTCTCATTTTTTCAATGAAAAACAAAGTGCTAGAGAAGAAAAGGGATTTAAGATCACACACAGCTAAGACTGTATCAATCTTCTGTTTCCGAGGCAAAAGAAGCAGAGAGTTTGTGCTCTGGAGTCAAGCATAGCTGGGTTTCAACCGATTCCATAACTTACTAACTTTTGGATTTATGGGAGTCTATTTACTCTTTAGGTCTTATTTCTTCACCAGATAAATAGAGAAAATAATAGGGTCTGCCTTACAAAGCTGATTTTTGCTCATTATATACTTATTCAATAAATACTCAACCCATGGCATCTCTGTGCCAAGAACCAAGGCACCATCCTTGTTGCTGGGTCTACTGTGGTGAGACAAACTACACTGTCCCTGCTCTCAAAGCTCCTGCTCTAGTTGGGGAGGCAACAGTAAACAACTAGGCAAATAGGTAACTAATTGCTTATAGTGATGAGTATTCTGAAGGAAATAAACAGGACGAAATGATAGGGAATAATGGAAAAGGGAGAGGGAGGTCAACCTGGATAAAGGAAGGCTTCTTTGAGAAGATAACGTTTAAACTGATACTGGAAGAATGAAAAGGATGTGGATTACAGGAGATAATATGCATAACATGCTTAGAACAATACCTGGCACAGAGTAGGGGCCAAAATTAACTGACATTTAAGTTATATTAAAATATTATTGATATTTGAATTATACCAGCAGTTCCCAATCACAAGGTTGAGAATCTCTAAGTAATATGCAGTTATTGTACACTAGGATCTTCTGTGTATTCAAAAATGTGGCTGGGGGGCTGAAGAAATAAGTCAGTGGTAAAGTGTTCACCTAGCAGTTGTGAAACCCTGGGTTCACTCCACAAGAAAAAAAAATGGGGCTTCATGTAGTGGTGCACCTCTGTAATTCCAATCACTCTGAAGGCTGAGGCAAGAGGATCACAAGTTGGAGGCCAGCCTCAGCAGTTTAGCAAGATCCTTAGCAAGTTAATGAAACCCTTTCTGAAAATAAAAAATAAAAGGACTGGGGGATGTGGCTGATAGTTAGAGCATTTTTGTAGCATGTGACAAACCCTGCTCCCAATAGTAAAAATAGATTCCTTGATTAATTAAAAAATAGATTCCTTGATTAGTAAAAATATATATTCAAAGGGCTCAGTGTGGAGTGCATGCTGAGCATGTGTAAAATCCTAGGTTCAATCCCTGCTACCATGGCAAAAAGGAAAAAAATCTCTTTTTTTTTAACACATCCATTTTAAAGAATATCAAGACATGTTTAAGTGAAAAAAACAAGGTGAAGAAGAGTGAAGAGTGGTAAGACATGCTACCATGTTGTCTTGTTAAAAAAAAAAAAGATAAATATGTGGATTGCAGATACAGCTCAATAGCAGAGCATTTGCCTAGTATGAATGAGGCCCTGGGTTTGTTCTTCAGCACCACTACCAAGGGGATGTGGGGGTAAAGATTTGTAGTATATAAATTACCTTTGAAAGTATATAGCAGAAATTGAGACAGTAGTTGATTTGGGGTAAGGGCCGTGTGTGATTAAAAGTCTGGGTGCAAGAATACTTCCACAGTATTCCATTTTCTATCTTGTGAATTATGTATTAATTCCATGTGCTATCTATTTAAAAATATTTTTTTAAAGAGAGGACACTTCATTGAATTTTTATCAGGTATTTTCACAATCAAAGGCTACTTAAAGCAGAACTATTATTAAATGGGAGTGCTTGAGGTTTTTTTTAACCTTTAAATGAGATTATTCTGCTAAAAAGTGTTGAGAATTATTTCTCCATAATTATAACTGTTAGAGAAAGCCTTAGAATGCAAAGGTAAGCTGGCACAGTGGCACACAAGGCAGGAGGATCTCAAGTTCAAGGTCAGCCTTAGCAATTTAGCAAGGCCCTAAGCAACTTAGTGAGAACCTATCTAAAAAAAAAAAAAAGCAAGTTCCAAATCTTAACAGTCTACTAAATTTCCTCCCAGAAAATGAGGCAGAGTCTTCTAAAGTGAAAAAATGCAATGCATCTGTCCAAATTTCTTCAATGTGTGTTATTATGAGGATAAACTTCCAGAATTAACCTCTGCCATTTAGTATAGAAGAGCAGGGTATTTGGTGTTAGAAGATAGCCAATTCCATACTGATCTTTTCCCAGAGTTCAAAAGTGAATTAGTCTTAGAAAATAAGACCTGATATTCTGAGCCTCCTGATTCTGCATCATAATTGAATAATTGATAATAAAACTAATAATAGCTGCCATTTTTAATGGCTTATTTCGTATTGGAAACTTCATGTTCATTATTTTTATCCCTCAAAATTTTTGCATTTTACAACTAAAAAGACTTTTAGAAATTTAATAACTTGCCCAAGTGATGGGAGGAGTTGGAACTCTCAATTGCCCA